GAAGTTCTTCACCAGGTGAAACAGCGCGGAAGTCGCGGGCTTCAGCATCAACATGCGGACGTGACTGTCTGAGGGGTCCAGGCAGCGAACGATGATCACGACCATGTCGGGCAAGTGCGCGACGGCGCGGTCCCGGAACTCAGTCACGAAGTCCAGAATCAACTTGACGGAAGTCTCAATGTACCACTTGTCCACGCGACGCTCACGCACAACCCAGCGCATGATGCGAATCACGAGAGGAGGGTCCTGCGAGAAGCAGCCGCGCAAAATCGAGAGCCAGTGAGCACTCTTGGTCGAGCGGTAGAGCGCGAGCGCACTCAAGATGAACTGGGCGGCGGGCGAGCGGTTGCCCTCGGCGGACTGGTAAAAGGAACGCGTCAGAGAGTGGATGCGGTTCTTGCACAGGGAGGAGGACGATATGCCGTGGTCGTCCAGGTCCTTGAGAGTCCACGCCGAGGGGAAGCAGCCGGCAAACATCTCGAGACAGTAGGCCCGGGGGTCGAAGGCGCGACGCCCGGGCGGGGAGTCGTCCCGGTGGGGGGGCTTGTCCTCGTCGGAGGCGAGCATGTGAGGGAGCATGAGCTGGGCCACGTAGGCGGCGAAGGAGTACTGCTTGTTGCTGACGCAGACGAAGTTGCACATGGAGGACAAGGACTTCTCGGTGACGACCGTCACGAGCAGCAGCAGCGAGGCGTCCTCCTCCCAGGGGAGGGGCATCTCGAGCCGGGCGAACTCGCCGTCCCCCAGGTCGTGGGAGGGCTGGAGGCAAAAGCCACAGTGCTTGCCGAAGCTGAAGGTGGTGGCGTGGCAGTGGCAGACGCGGATGCCCGGAAAGGCGACGCTGGGGCCCCGACGCGAGGTGGAGCAGCAGAAGACGGCCAGGGCGCGGCAGACGTGGAGGTAGAGCTGGTCGCGCGAGAGGCCGCAAAGCGTGTTGATCAGCGCCTTGGAGATGGCCGAGAAGCCGTCCCTGCAGGCGCAGACCACCATCAAGTGCGCCAGCAGCCAGACGTCGGCGGAACGCGCCCAGTGCGAACAAGAGCTGGCCCCGGAGTGGAAGGCCACGACGGCGTCCCAAAGCAGCATGCAGGTCGAGAAGTAGCCGTTGGGGTGCACGTCCTCCGTCGAGTAGAGCTGGTACATGACCTTGCGCTGGTCAAACATGCAGGGGAAGGTGAAGCTGCGGCGGATGCCGGGCCACTGCTTCTCCTTGCGAATGTAGTCGTTGAGAAAGTAGGTGGAGACCACGGTGTCGTGGCTCGACAGGCGGTCCAGCCGCTCCAGCGGCGCGACGCTGTACCGCAGGGGGATGGAGAAGGTGCCGGAGGGGATGCCGAGGTAGCACACGGTGCCGCGGCCGACGACCTTGGCCAAGAGCGACCCGCCGTTGCCCTTCAGGTTGGACAGTACCTCTTGCAGGGGGAAGATGAGCACGGGTACTGCGTGCGATACGGTGGTTGGTCGCGCCAGCAGAGTCTTGTCCAAGGCGAGGTGGCAGCGAAGGTGGCTGCAGATTAGGCGCCCGGTGGGAAGGACGCATGGACGCGAACGAGAACCGCGGAGTACGTGCCACGCCCTGCAGACGTGTTGGGACCCCTGTGTTATGTGCCTCAGCCTGGTAAGCCCGCGTGGAGAAGGCCCGCACGACGCCTTGCCGGGAAGGGGGTTGGCCGCTTTTTCGGTGACGTCGGGGTCAGAAGAAGGCGAGGGGGCGAAGTTCATGCGCAGAAACGACGTGTGCAATGAAGTCGATATGCGCCGCTTGAAGTGCCTCTCCTGGAAGATGGAAAGCGACAGCAGGTCGTGCGGCGTGCACTGCTCGAGGTAGCGCTGATAGGAGTCGTTAGCCACGGTGCCGAAGGTCGTGGAGGGCCATTCGGTGGTCAGGAAGGACGTCAGCGTGTTGGCAAGCGTGGAAGCATTGCGAAGCTTGTGGTCAGACCCCGAAGAAGAGTCGCTGGCCACCCACACGGCCTGGCGGTAGGTCTCGAGGTATGGCAGTGCCCGCAGGAAGCGGCCGTCGCTCAGGCGCCAGAGCAAGATGCTGCTGTGGGTGAGCACGAAGAGGGTGTTTTTCTTCGAGTTGAGGACCACGCGCTCGATCTCCGAGTGTAGCAGTGCCTCCGATCGTTGCATGCGGTGGATGCCGCGGCGGGTTGACGACGTGGACGTGAAGTGGTCCAGTGCTGACCAGGGAGGCGCGCTGCGGCTGTCGTCGCCATCGCTCTCCATGTCAGAATATATGGCACTCTCGCGGATGGGATGGAGCGCGCAGTCCTCGGCCAGGTCGTCCAAGAGCGGCGACAGCTGCACCAGGACCAGGCCGCCGTCGGAGCCGACGCTCACAAAGGTGTCGTCGTTCCCGTGCAGCACGGCGTCGGTGACCTTGGGGCCGCGGTACGAGACGGTGAAGGTGTCGTATATGGCGCGCACGGAGGTGTGGTGGAAGTGCCGCAGGACGAGGGCGAGGTCGAGCGACGCCAGCGAGTAGACCAGGATGTCTGAAGCGCCCACACAGACTACGAGATAATTCGACCCGACGCAGTGCATGAGCGCCCGATCCACATGTGCAGGTGGCGTAGAGAGCTCCGGGGAGGGAGGCTGGAGCCATTCCATGACCGTGGAGCCGGGGAGGACCAGTGACTTCATGCGGTGAGAGCGGGCCGCTGACCGTAGGCAGTCCTGGATGGACCGGCAGGAGGGGAGCTCACGGGTGTCGCCGGTGGAGATGTCGATGCGGCGCAGAGTGCCGTCACGCTGCAGCTCGAGGCGGTGAGTGGACTCGCTGTCGTGGAAGAGGCAGGAGGCGATCACGCCGGCCCTGGCCGGCGAGAAGCAGTCCGAGAGCAGGGAGTCGGTGCAGACGCACATCCAAAACTTGTGGTGAGGCATGCCGACGCTGAGCCTGCCGCCCGGCGTGTGCCGGATGAGGCGGAAGCGAAGCGAGCTGCAGCCGCTCTGCGTGTAGTCGAGGTGCTCGTGGTGAGGCGACCCTCCGCGCACGTGCACGTGGACGTGCTCGCCGCGGCGTAAGAGCGGGTCGAAGCGGGGGAATCGGTGAGTGGCCACGAGGGCGAGCGGCTGGTCGGGGGCGTCGGGCACGGCGAAGACGGAGACGCGGCCGTTGGCGACCCAGGCGACCAGCAGCGTGAGCTCGCGCAGGACCCGCACGCACTGGAAGCCGTGCCAGGGCTCGGTGCTCATGGTGCCGTCGGCGGCTAAGCTGAGGAGCTCGGCGACGCGGGCGAGGGAGCCGTCGTAGCCGTAGTGCCAGACAATGATGCGGACGCCGACCATGACGAAGATGTGGCGGTCGATGGTGCGGAGCTCGGCCGGCTGGCCCTCCAATTCGGGGAGCCACTCGCGCAGGACCGCGAAGTTGGACCCGGCGTCGACGCCGTCGGGGGACCGGTGTTTCCCGTGGTGGCCGTGCCGCAGGAACGACTGGCGGGAAAGGAAGTGGTAGAAGCGGTCCCTGCCCCTGTGCGAGCGCTTCTGGGACGGGAACGAGGCGTCGTTGTGCCGGTCCCAGCGCGTGACCACCACGATGGGCCCGTTGGAGGCGCCGTGCTTGGCCTTGTAGCTCATGATGGGCGCGGTGAGGTCCCAGGTGACGAGCTCGTTGTTGTCGAGCAGGGCAGAAATGAGCAGGGGGCAAGCGTGCCTTTCCTCGGTGTAAGTGGCTTCGCACGGCGCGGTTTTGTTCCTCGTGGAGGCGGTGGTGTTCTCGGCCTTGTAGGGGAGCTCGAAGGGGACCGGCCCGCAGTTCGCCCTCAGGATGTAGCGCGGCTTCGCGGGCTTCGTGCAGTCCGGAGACGACGACGCAGAGGCGTTGCTAACGTTCGAGGAGTTCGCGTCTGTTGCCGGGTCGCTGCCGGAGGCGCCGCGAAAAAGCTTAGAGCGGCCGCTCGTGTAGGTGGTCTTGTCGAAGTGGCAAGAACCGTTCAGTTCGAGCATGCCGATGAGCTTCAGGCGCCAGAGGTCGATCACGTTGATCTTGCAGCGTCCCACCAGCGCGATGAACCGGTCGTCTGGCAGCACGCACATGCGCTTTATGGCAAACGGTGGGCCCTTCACCTTGTGCAGGCAGCGGCAGTCCGTCAGCGACCAGACGGCCACGCTGTTGTCCTTGTGCAGGGCCACCAGCACTTCCTCGGCGTTTTCCACTCCGGAGTAGCTTCCGACGGTGTCGTCCCAGCCGCACTTGAGGGAGTGCGACGAGCGGAAGCCGCTGGCGAAGGCGACCTGCTTGACGGGGAATGCGATAGGGTTGTTGCTGGCGACGAGCATGAAGTAGGGCTCGAATGCGACATCGCTCGATCGTTCGTAGAGCTCTTTGAAGCGGTGCAGCGACACTGGGTGGCGCGCTGGCGTCTGTCGCTGGCGGCGCACCTTCCACAGGACAACCGAGCCCTGCCGGGTTCCTGTCGCCAGGTAGCACCCGTCCCTGCTTAGGCTGCTGCAGCTGATGTCGCAGCGCCATCGGGCGTCCGGGAAGAAGCAGACGCCGCTGCTCACGCAGTTGCGGTCCATGGTTCCGTGCGTCAGGGGCGGCGCGGTTTACGCTACCGGCAGGGCACGGGCGTTCGCCCGCTACCGCGAACCGGCGCCGCGGCGAGCCTCGGCGAGCCTCGGCCAGGCTGTGCAGACTCCAACCGCCATCGGCGGGACGCGAGGGCTCGGGAATCGGACCGAAGATTGGGCCCGGTGCCGGGAAGAGGCAGGGTGCGCGTCTTGGAGGTACGGCGGGTGATATTCGGCGGCTTTGCTTTCTTTGGAAGCCCTATAATACTATGTATCCGTCGTGAGTGAATTAAGTGGCCTTAATGTGCCGGAAAAGTCTAAGGAAGTCGTCTCGCTGACACACCGAGTCTACGGCGGCCAGGCGGCTACGGCGCTTTATCGCTGTTTTCTGCTTGGTGATCTATTAAAAAAGTAGATATTATAGGTAATAAAGTGTGGAAGAAGTGTGTCTTTACGCAGATGATATAATAAAATGGTGCATCTGCCGGGAATCGAACCCGGGTCGCCTCGATGGCAACGAGGCATTCTACCACTAGACCACAGATGCTACACTTGGCTTTTGTAACTATAATACATGCTTATATGGGGGCTGTGTTGAGTGTCGTTTGAGTCGAGAGTCGGCGGGAACGTCACTTCGGAGTTCACCGCACACACTGAGGTGAGGCGGCGGGGAAACTCGTAATATTGAACATGGCACTAGTGTGTGCAAGGAGATGGTGTACAAGGAGTCGCATTGCCGGTGAAGCGATGTGAACTGTGGACTGGGTTGGGAGCTTGTTGAGGAGAACCGGCGACGGAGCTCGGCGGTCTGCGGAGTCAAGGAGTAGTTGAGGCGACCGTTAGTCGTGAAGATGGCGGAAATCGACGCCAAGGAGCTGGAGCTGCTGCCGGTCAAACTGGTAGGTTGACAGTAGAGGCGTCATAGGAATTGCAGGTACAGCAGGCACTGAATAAGGGACTGCTGGAGAGCGCAGCCATGGGCGCAGTGAATGAGACGCGGATGAAAAGAGGCGCCAAGCGCGCCGTGAGATACACGCTGAAGCAGAAAAAGTTCGCCAAGGACGCCGTCAACACCGTGAACCGGGCAGCTGGGCTGTTTGTGCTCTACATGGCGGCCGTCGCGCAAGATATCGCAAAGAGCAAAAAGAGGTGGGCGAAGGAGTGAGTGCGTGCATGAGCGGCAGGACAACAGTATGCCAAACGGACATTGTGGAGGCACTCAAAGCCGGGCTGTTTGGGGAGATCGAACGGGAAATGTCGGCAGAGGGCGCCGCGGTGAACGAGCTGCTGAAGGTGAGGCAGGCGCAGATGCTGAGTGCGGAAGAAGGCGGCGAGGGTGATGAACCCACGGCGGACGGCGCAGGGGCGGGCGACGGCGATGGCGCGGAAGGCGGCGACCAGGGTGACGATGACCTGGAGGTGGAGGACATGGAAGAGGAGTATTTCGAAGAAGCCGACGATGTAGTTGAAGACATGGAAGTTGATGAATATATGGAAGAGGACGAATCAGACCATATGATGGCAGTCGACGGCGAGGGCGCAATGGAAGATGTTGCCGACGATGGAGAGAAGAACGTGGAAACACAAGGTGGCGGTAGTGGTGACCACATGGAAGTGGTTTATGCCGATGAGGAACCCGGCTCAGAGAAAGGCGACCAGGCCACAACACTGGGCCAAGGCGAGACGCAGTTGGCCGAAAGCGGACGATCGCAGAGTGTACACACAGAAAACAGAGCAGAGGCTCCCACACAAGTAATGTAAACGTATTGAGGTACATTGGCGTATTTGCCGCTGAGCGACGCAAACACGGTGGTGGTTGCGGAGCACGAGTGGAAGCGTGAGACTGATAGGTTACTGCAGTTTTTAATGTAACGAAAGGACGCGAAAACTCCAAATCATGTCTACTGCTTAAAATGAAGATCAAACTTCAAACGCTCAATCTCGAAACGCGTCTCAGTGAAGGCGCTGACGAGCGTTGCGATTTGAATGTAGGGAGAGGCGCCAGCGGAGAGACACTGCTCGATGTCGGCCAGGCGTATCATCAGCTGAACAATGACGACGTTGGGCCAGTCGATGCGCAAAACCGCGCGGTAGAGAGCAGTCACGAGGTCCTCCACAGAGTAGCCCTGGACCTGGTGGAGAGCAGCGACGTGCTCCACGCAGGCCTTGAACGGCTCCTGCATGAGGCGCTGCAGCAAGTCGCTGATCTCGGAGGGTTTCGGCAGCCCGGCAGTGGCGAGGACGGCGTCGCTGTCGATCTTGGTGCCGGGCCGAGAGCCGAGCGACATGGCAGTGACCTGGAGGCAGTTGAGCACGCGGCGCATGTCGCCCTGCCCGACCTCCGCCAGGGTGTCCAGGGCGCAGTCGGAAAGCTGCAGGCCCTCCATGGCGGCAATCTCGGCGGTGCGACGCTTGACGACCTCGGCCTTGAGGGGAGGAAAGCGGAACCCGGTGCAGCGAGACTGAATGGGGGGAATGATACGATTCATGAAGTTGCAAATCAAGCAAAAGCGAACGTTGGCAGAGTAGATTTCCATGATGCGACGAAGCGAGTTCTGAGCGGCGTTGGTCATCTGGTCAGCTTCGTCCAGAATGATGAGCTTCAGAGTGGTGCGGAGGCCGGACTCGCCCCCGACGACGCCGCTGGAGAAGGTGTTGGAGGTCTCGGCGAAGGTCTTTATCTGCTCGCGCACAGTGTCGATGCCCCTCTCGTCGGAGGCGTTGAGCTCCATCACGTAGGAGTTGCGGTGAGAGCCGTAGAGATACCGGGAGACGGCCATGATCGTGGAGGTCTTCCCGGTGCCTACACATCGTGGCGCGTGGACGGGCGGACGTACCGGGCGGTCCGTGGAAGAGGAGGTGCGGCAGCTGGCCCTTCTCGGTGAAAATCATCAGCGTAGACATTATGTCTTCGTGAGAGATGATGTCGTCGAAGGACTCCGGGCGGTACTTCTCCACCCAGGGAGCACCCAGTGCGGCACTCATCTTGAAGAGGTTCGAAACGTAAAATGCTAAACGCGAATACGGCCCGGAAATCCGCGAAAAGCCGGCCGGAAGACGAACTCGTTCACGAGGATCGCCCTGACACACGCGTGCGGAAGGAGGGCGAACGGGGTGGAATCCGGTAGGTCGGAGCCGCACATTAATAATACACATCGCGGTGAGCGGCGAGGCGGGAAACGTGCTCATTAATGGGCACCTTCATTGCTCTGGAATCAGCGGAAGGTAGGTGTACGGGGTGTGAGCCGACGACTAGTGGAAAGGCGCGTTTTCACGGGTTAATGGGCATGTAGACTCTTTCAAGACCCAGCTGCGGAGGGCAGCCGCGGCGGCGGGGCACTCCTGCGCCGTCATTAGCCTGAGGGCGCTGCGGAGGTTGCCGCCGGAAGGTATGGCGGGGATTGTGCGCGTGTTCAGGGTGTGCAGGTGACGCTGCGAAGTGGGTGCTGCGGAAAGTGGCGGTAAGGCCGGTTGAGTGGCGTGATGTAATGGCGGCTCAGGAACTGGTCGCGCAAGTGGTTGACGGGGAAGCGTTGCTGGTACTGGAGGACTTCGACGTGTGGGCGCCCATCAAACGGCCAAAGGTACGTTGGAGTTGAATGGTCTATGTATTGTTGAAGGGGACTTTGGAAGAAGAATCTCGCCAGGAAGCGCACGGAAAGGGCGACAAACCACCGCGTCTGGGTCCGCCGTTGCACGACAAGGGCAACGAAGCGGGGCTCTGGGGAAAGTGGCAGGAAAGGGTAGTGAGGGAGAGGGGGACTGAGGACAAGATATTCAAGACTAACTTGTCGTGGGTGTACAGGGTGCTTTATTTGCTGCGGTACTCCCTTGCCTTCAGGCTGCAGGATGATGACCGACGCCTCGTCTGCATAGCGCTCTACGCAAGCCCGGCAGCGACGCGGTCCTTTTTCGCCGACATTTTTCATCACACATACGAGGCGGGCGAGTTTCCCGCGGCGTTGGGGAACCTGGGGTTGGGATTTAATATTTCAAGTGCCGGTGAAAGGGAACGAGGCGTTGGTCGTGGGCTCGCGGGGGTCAGCCGGTACGTCGACACGGTGGGCTGTGAGGGGGCGGGTCTCTCGATCCGGCTGAACGAGCTGTATCACAGCGCGACGAGGGTGGCGGTTAAAAATGACGTGCTGCAGATACCGTTCAACGTCAACTCCAAGCAAATCACTATCTCGAACATCACCCTGATATGCGGCGAGCAGGGGTCGGGCAAAACGACGCTGCTTAACGCCGTGATCAAGGCGTGGGTGCAGGGCGACCCGGTCAGTGTCGTGCATTTGACTGACGCGCGGGGAGGTGGGGTCGAAGAGGGGCCACCTGTTGAGGGCCGGGGCCCGGGTGAAGAGCGTGTAGGTAGTGAACAACGTGAGGTTGGCCGGGGCCGGGTCGATCCAAGTAAGGGAATTAATGTGAATGGGGATTTGCTAAAACGTAGGTCGGCTTACAGGCTGGAATACTACAACATCGTCAGCCAGTACGTCGGATGCGGTGAGAGCTACATCAGGCGTATCTTCCAAAAGGCGAGAAACAACAAGCCTGCGTTGGTGGCAATAGACCAGGTTGAGCTCTTGTTCCGTGGCAGTGCGGCGCACAGCGAGGAGGCGCAAGGGTACGCGACCCTGGCGAGGACATTGGTCAACGAACTGGACGCACTGGATGAAGGGGTCGTTTTCGTAGCTGCGGCCAGCGGAAATGTCGCGGCGCAGCAACTCCCCGCCGCGCTGACGAGCCTCAACAACACAACTATCGTGCTTAGAAGGTAGCAGGGCGGGTGGAATCATGCAGTTGGTTAGTACATGCAGCGGCCTCTTCGCCTCGTGGTCGTTCGTTGCCAGCCACGGGAACGTGCACGCCGCCCGGAAATCGGTAAAAGAGGGGCGGCGTGCGACGCAGCTATGCGACGTGCATTCGAATAGCGTCTTCAGGGAGGCCGAGGAACTGATTTCCGAGATGCCCGGGCAGGCGCCCCTCCCCGCGTCGACCTTTTCCCGTATACAGGAGGCGATGCTGCCAAGAAACCCGCTGCTCCCGGAGGACGTGGCGCCGGAAACGGAGCGGCAGTGGCAGGCGAGGAGCATGGGCGAACGGAAAATACGGCAGATCATAGAGGCGTCGTTTGGGTCGGCCGGCAGTGGATACAACTACAGCCGGGTGCAGAACGCCGTGCAGCCCCCCAAGAGCAAGAAGTACGGGCCAGGGAGGCCTGTGACCATGCAGATTTGGATGAACATCGGGACGAATGACCTGCTGACGAGGTGCAAGCGGGCGAGGAAGTTTCTGGAGGACGGCATCCCCATCATGTTTAAAATTGAGGGTCAAGGGCGGTCGGCGAACTACATGACCCATGCCAAGGTTATTGTGAGCACTGCCATGAGTGTCCTTTCGGACGTGGCGAAGCTGGGGGGCGGTTTGCAGGAGCACACGAGTTTCTTATCGCAAATTTTCAACCCGCTGAACAAGGTGAAAACACAGAGCGTGTCTGACTCAAGCGGGGGGGTGCGCGCTCGCGTTGATAAGCCGGGTGTAGGCGCTA